AAAGATTTGTTCTTTTTGTAAATTTTTAAAAAACTAAATTAGAATTTTGTAAAACCTATTTTATATATAAAGTTATTTATTATATTTGATTTTAATTAAACAAATCTATAATTACAAATATAAAAAATTTTTTCAGGTTTAAGTTTGGATTTTTTGATTTGTTTAGCTGTATTATATATAGCTTTTTGCGATGGCTTGTACTACATGCACATTATGCAGGATTGTTGCACCAATACCATAATTGATTGGGTTGTATAACATGTGTATCTTACGTGTTATGTAATTGTAAATATGCAATGGCAGGTGACGCTACGCTACATGACCCGTATTTTTGAGGCCCACTTTCGACGTTAGGACAAGGGTGAGCATTGGGATGATACTGTAGTAGAAAGGATGCTACATATAGCAAAATCTTGCAAGGAATTTTTTTGTTAAGGCGCAGAAGGTGGTTTTATAATTAAAATTTTGAGTTATGGACGATATTTTGAAAAAGTTGGCAGTTTGCTTTGTACATTTTATGCGGTTGATATGTAAGTTATAATACGTATTAGTATTCAGTATTGCGGTTTGCAAAAAGGTGTGACCTCTACAGATTATTGCAGATCATACAGTCATAGTGTAATATAAAATCGCGGGAAATTAGACGATTTTTCGATTCTAAGGGACTATACATATTTCCAAATATATATAGATATCACTGATCGAATATAGATTGATAGAAAATAAATCTCCGAGATTCCCCACTATCATTATCACGAAAATCAATGATCGCAAAAACCGCTATATCGTGTCATGTAAAATCATAGGAAATTAGCGTTAGACGATTTTTTGATTCTTAAACTTTGTCTATTTTATATATTAAAAATTTGACACCTGATCCATATGTAAATTTTTGTGCTACCTTATTTGAACCAATCAAAATTAATTATAAAATCCTAAATTTGGCAGTAATAATATCTTATACGCGTTTTTAATGATAAAATGAAAAGTTGTAAGGGTTAGTAATTATAGCTGATAGCTTTTAATTTCAGCCTATACTATACCAATTTGCTTACCTATATTATACTGATCTGAATACAAATCACGTTTTTTTAAAAGCTAATTTTCCTAGACAATTCCACATACATAAGTAGCAGTGCCAAAAGAAACCAGTACTTATATCACAGATACTGTATATATGGGGTGCGCGTTATTTAAAGACACGCATGAGCGTTATTTTGAAGCCTTGCAGACTATTTTAAAGGGCGCGATGTTCTAAATAACGCACATGCTTAAATTTTGAATTAATTTCGATGAATAAATGAATTTCGACGACCATTCATTAAGTGATTACTTATATACTTAACCTCGTTAATATCAACTTCACTAATATCAATCTAAACAATAAAATAAATTTCTATATATATATTATGTTAAAATTCCCTCATATATATCAACTTTAATATGATCCCTCATTAATATCACTATCAACATGAATATAAAAGTATATATTATCCAAATGGGTTGATATTAGCGAAGGTCAAGTGTATTTTGGCGATTACCAAATGAATTTCGGCTAGGTACTTTATGCGTGCCCAAAGTTTGTTCAGTGCAATCCTACAAAACAACGCGCAACTCGCACAACATATATCTTGGAGGATTTGATATATTCATATCGAGTTCAAAAATTGAATATTTCGAAATAACACATATGTACGCCTCGAAATATATCTTCCACTACGGTTTATACGGTAGATTATATGATATCGAACCTAATCTATGAAGATCCTTTGGACAAAAATAATTTTATTGTACTTTGAAGAATTGATATGCATTTCTTGATTATTCTGAAAGAGCTGAATGAGTATTTTCTTAATTATAAATATTAAAGTATTTGTATTACTGTAAATTATAACTGTTCTCAAATTAAAATTTTGAATTGCCAAATTAAGAGACATTGGGAACTTTCTATTTATTGAGAATAATCATTTTTTATAAATTTTGAAATTAATGAATCCCCTTTTACTCTTCCTATATATAGATCATTTAGTATAAAGTGTACGATAAATCAGTATAAAGCGAATGTGTATGATACGTATATCAAGATAAAGTTTATGATAGATCAGCATAAAGTGTATGATAGATACCACTTCAAATTATATATTTATTTTCTAACAGGTAATGAAGAATCTTTGGAGGTATGACTTATTTGTCGATTAGCCGCACTTAAATCCAACGAATCCTAATTAGAAATCAAAAATTTAGAAATCAAATATTTTTTAAATACGAATTTCTGGTTTGTGCTGATCTTACTAAGCATAAGAGGCATAATTATCTGCACAGATTCAATTTCTGTAAAGAAATGAAATACTTGATGATTTTTTTCTTTCATATCTTCAATTTCTTGATCGGGATAAACTTTGTCTTTATCGTAAGCAGTTGTTGTTTGTGAGATCTGATCCGTATTTCCAGAAACAGTAAGTTCTGTCCGGTCACATGATGGCTTAGGGGTATTACTGGATTCGTTTTCATCTTTTTTTGCCTCTGATTTTATTAAGCGTTCATTAGATTTATGATCTTGAGAGTTACTTGAATAATTAGAGGTTGAAAAGTTGAAAAAGATACGGGGTCGTAACAGAGAAGTATTAGTATGTCGAATTAAACGAGCGTACATTTTTTGAGAAAAACGATGCTTATCGAGATGTATTGCGGGTTTATATAAATGATGACCGAAGATATATATACGACATGGTGATATCATTATTGTAGTGAAAATAGCATGTGAAGTTATTGTCATTTATATTATTTTGCTTTACTAATAGCATTAGAGGTCATTTTTGTCGTTTAATATATCGATATAGTAGCAATGGCTTTTTTTAATAATTAAAGCCACGAAATGATAAAAGTTAGCAACGTAACACAAGATCGGTATAAATTTGATCAAAAATTGCAGCCTTTGCAGAAAATCTTTTTTAACATGGGAAAACGAAAAGCTAATAAAAGTGAAGATCCTATCGACTCGCCATCTATGGATGTATCTGAGGAAGAAGAAATAGACTCTGACGAAGGTGTTTCTGACGGGGAAGAAAATGCGCACTTGGAAGTACTATCGTATAAATTTAAAATTTATTCCCAATTTTTATTCGATATCAATTTTAAACAATAAAATTCATCCGCCGATTATAGGAGGAAATAGTGGATATAGACTTTGACTTTTTTGACCCAAAACCGATAGACTTCCACTCAATAAAGAATTTGGTGATTCAATTATTTTCCGCGGACGCTGAACTATTTTGCATTAGCGAACTCACTGAACTGATTATTAGTCAACCATTATTGGGTACCACTGTAAAAGTTGATGGTGCAGATTCAGATCCCTATGCAGTTCTTACAGTTTTGAATATGAATGAACATTCAGTAAGTTCAATTAAATCAAAAATTTGATCGATTACACTTCTTTTGTAATTTAAATAAACGGGTTTTTGAATAGGAAAAAAAATGTATAAAAGATCTAGTTACATATTTATTAGACAAGACAAAACAAGATTCAGTCTTAAATGACAAACTTGATACGTTATTAAAAAAAGATTCCATAGAACATGTTGGATTAATATTAAGCGAAAGATTAATTAACATGCCAGTACAAATTGTACCGCCTATGTATAAAATGTTGCAAGAGGAAATTCAATGGGCTGTTGACGATGTAAGCATAAAGGCCACATGAACTTTAAAAAAAAATTTTTTTTTAAAAAAGAAATTATTATTGTTTAAAAATTAACGTTATTTTGTTTAGAATGAACCATATAACTTTGAATGGTACCTTGTATTGTCTAAAACTTATCAAGAAGTAATGTCTACTTTGGATGACGAAAGTAAACCAAGTAAAAAACAAAAAAAGAAAAAAGCAAAGGTATCTATCTATTAACACATATATCAATTTAATTTATGTATTTATATAATTTTATTCATTTTCTTTTATTATTAGTCTGAACCAACAATATTTTATTTTCATCCTGAGGATGAAATCATTGAACAGGTATTTTGATTTTAAGTTTACCTTTTTTTACCATTTCATTTATGCTTTAATGATCCTCGAATCACAATTCATAAAAACATATTGTATTGTTTAGAACGCAGACTACCAATTAAATTTCAATTTTACAAAACAACCATCAGTTTCAGATTCCAAAAGAACTTTTTCAAATTTTGGCATTGCACCTGCTATGAAGCTGTTTTTAATTAATAGGTCAAAGTTTGACAATTTGATTCGAGATTTAGAAAATGCTTGCAAATAAATATATGCTATGTTCCAGATCATAATACATATAATTACATTTTACCAGCACTCTCAAATAGGTATATTGCTAACCCTACTTTGCTAATTATGATCTACTAGTGATTCTTTAAATTATAAATATATAAATTATACAGCTTTCTATTATATATAACCCAAAATTATTTATGTAATTTATAAATAAATGCTTAAATCCTAGTATAGACCAATTCTAAATATGGTGGTCGTTAAGTTGTTTTTGAATGTTAGCATCCTCTCCATTTTATTTTTACTCTTCCAGCATCTAGGTTGGCAATTTGCTATTTATTTATATTAAAGATGGAAACGTAAATATATATCTATATATCGTTTTAAAAATCAATAAATGTATTATGATAGGGATTGGAACCGCGAAAAATTATTGTGGTGGTTAATCGCGTCGCTTAATTACAAGTTACACGATTAATCAGGTAATCGTATAACCGCATATTTAATCGTTTAATCATTTAAATGCAATCGTTAGGAACTGGAAATCAGCATAAATTCAGGATATAAAATGTTTATACTGTAGTATAACGATAAATAGTTCTTAATAAATAGTATATATGAGTACCACCAAATTAAAACCAGGAAGCGAATATTTAAGTTTTCATTGTGACGAACTTAGCTCCAAGAAATTATAATATAGCATAATTGAATCACAATTAGTGATGCCTGACGAAACCATGTGATGCTAATTGTCACATGCCATTACTTATAAAAAAAACTAAATAGATTG